CTGGCTTCTGTGAAGTGGCCAAACGGGCTGTCTTTGAAGTTGAAGTGCCCGGCTTATCACCTGCGCTCACCCGCTGCTGCGGGGCAATCTGCAGGGAACGAGCAGGAGAGGCTTTCTTCCTCTTAGGGGAAGACATAGCTGCGGTCGGGTCCGAAGCCGAGGAGCCTGGAGCGCTGGAAGGTAGGAGAGCCTTATCAAAGAGGATCGCCTTCAGCCGTCTTTCCCGCTCCTTGCGGGCTCTCGTCGTGAGCTTGGCACAGTGACTACATTTTTGGGGGATATGTGCCTCCCCAAGGCAGCGGACACAAGCCGAATGTCCGTCAGAGACAGGCATTGAGTCCCTGCACATAGTGCACTTTTTGAAGCCGGGGGAGCCCGGCATACCGGCTGTCTGAAGGGGGTCGACTGCCCCTTCCTCTCTCCTTTAGGAATTGTAACTATGTTTGCATAAAGGGTCCGAGAACTACTGAACTTAGCTCAAGCAGAGCTAGCCAGGTAACAATGTAACTCTTCTTACTTGTATACTTTTTTTTTTTTAACTAGAAGTTGAAACAGGAAAACATCTGTAGAAGGCAACAATATAACTATATACAAATGGTAACTGTTTCTTTTGCTATCATTATGCTGCCTCTTCTCTCTTTTTTTTTTTTTTTAAACACTCTACAGAATATTGTGGCCAAGTTGTCGTTAAGGAATCCAGGAAAATATAAACAGCTTACGCTATTTGCATAACCTGTACTAAATTGTTGGTCAGCACGCCATTTAAAATTTGTGCTGGACAAGATGAATAATGGCTCTCTAAGCAGAGCTGTTCAATCACCAGACGTGGAGCACCCACGGGGACTACCCGAAGAAGGAAAAGAAGTTACTAACTTCCATGCAGTAACGATGGTTCTTCGAGGTTTGTCCCCGTGGGTACTCCACGACCCGCCCTCCTCCCCACTACGGAATCTCCTCTCTTTCTGTCTTGCAGAGGGGCGGTGAGAGGAAACTGGCGGGCGCCGGACCGCGCGCGGCACATGAAAGGCGCGAAACCGGCTCGAGCATGCGCGGTCCGGCCGAACACAGCTCTGGCAAGCTCCGATTCGTGGCGCCGGGACCAGCCCGACACCAGACGTGGAGCACCCATGGGGACTACCCGAAGAAGAAGACTGCGTTGGCCACTGCTATTTATCATGCGTTTGCTCTTGCTTCTTTATGTTATAATATATAACATATAATATATAATTTTTTTTTAAATGAAGCACAAGCCCAAGGGCCCACCGCCTGCGAAGCTGGTGGTATACTGTCCCTCTGGAGCTGTGCAGTAGCTATTTACAACAATAAAACCAGAAAAAAAAATTTAAACTATTACGAACTAAAGTGATGAAAGTTATTTTTTAAAACTAATTATAACCTAAACCCTATCTACAGAGAACTGAAGAGGAGGAGAGGTATTGAGCTCCATCTGCGACTGAGGGCAGTAACGAAGGAACTAAGAGGAGTCAGGCCGCATGCACGAACTCCAAAGGTACGAACAGCATGCGCCCCTCCCGCACATGCACAGCCCAACTAGATACAGCTAGAAAAAGACTCCAATTTCCAGCACCGAGACAAGCCCGACACCAACAGTGGAGCACCCACAGGGACATCATTCAACTGTATTTACAGGAACATATCCACTCTGCCAAGATATATTGCTGACAGAGCAGTGCTGCTCAAAGTGATTAACTCTGGCTGGTGTTGGACTAAAAATCACTTTAGTACATTTACTTTCAAAGGGGTCTGGCATTCGAGCTTGTAGGTTAACAAAATCCTTTTAGCTGAAGGGGACAACTTCATTTGGGACAGGTTAAGCACAATTCTGCTCCCCTTTATTCATGCAATTAAGACAACAACATTGATAACATTTCACTGCCCTTGCAGTCAGTAGCCCAACACCAGCCAACATAGGCGGTGAGTTATCTGGGCTTGTGGTGCCCATGCTCCAGGAATATTCAGAGCCGGGGGCCCTGCTCCACCAATATTTGGAGCTGGGTCTCTCTGGGGCTGGGTCTCTCCCATGGCCCTGCCTGGAGCGGGCCCCAGCCCCTGCCTGCTGGGCCCCCTCCC